TTTGAAAAATAACATGGACATTTTAAAGAAGTTAGATAATAGAAAACAAAAAAAACATGCTTAAACAAAAATGACAAAAAAGATAAAAGTGACCAAAGGACTTCGCCAAGATTGCTGCATTGCACCTACACTCTTTAAGATTTATTTGGAGGGAGTTTTGGATATTTGGAAAAGAAAAAGTGAACCTATGGGTGTTAAAATTGGAGACCATACACTGTACAGCTTGCATTTTGCTGATGACCAAGTAATACTTTCAGAAGATCAAGATGATATCCACTACATGTTACGAAAAATAGATGAATAATATACTAAGTGAGGCTTATCAATTAATCCATCAAAAACAGAGTACGTAGTAGTGGGAGGTAAAGAAAGCACTTAGAACTAGGAAGCAAACAAATTCAAAATATTGATAGCTATAAATATCTCAGTGTAAACATTACAAACAATGGTCGGAATACAAAAGAAACAACTACTAGAATTGGTCAAGGAAATTCAGCAATACGTCAACTGAACAGTATACTTTGGAATAACCACATCACCCGAAACACAAAAATTAGGATGTACAAAAGTATCATAGAAAGCATTGCTACATATGGTTTAGAGCTTTGGGTAATAAATAAAAATGACGCATCCCAAATAAAAGCAATGGAAATTAATTATTGGAGAAGATGTTGCCAACTCACTAGAAGAGATAGGGTAAGGAATACTGAAATCAGAGAGCGTATGGGCATAGACATTGACATCCTGGAAACTATAGAATGCAAAAGGCTGAAATGGTATGGCCATGTAGAAAGGATGAATAATCAACGATGGCCAAAGAGAATGTTACAGTGGATCCCCACCAACCGCAGGAAAAAGAGAAGACCAAGAAGATCGTGGAGACAAGAAGTAAAAGGTGCAATGGAAGATAGGGGTCTACGAGTAGATGACTGGAACGATCGCAAGCGTTGGAAGCTAGGTTGCTAGAAACGACAGCAGCTGTAATAAACTCGTTATATATATATATATATATTTATGTATATATATATATATATATATATATTATATATATATATATATATATATATATATACATATAAATATATATATCCATCGTGACTAACAATGCTGATCCTGATGTCTTAAGTAGGAACCCAGTCTCGGATACTCCTATCAATAAATATTTTTCATTACCCTATTTCAGAGATATCACTCCGGAGTTAACAAGGATTCTAAAAAAGTTTTGAAAATAGCTTTGGGAATAATAATAATAACATTAAACTTAATGTGGCTTGTAGATCAGCCTTAACAATTAATAATCTTTATTCGAAGATAAAAGATAAGACTCACATAGATAGGCTTAGTAATATTGTCTACAACATTCCATGCCTCTCTTGCAACAATTCCTACATCGGCCAAACATCTCAATTCTTGAAATCACGTATTACACTACACAAAAGTGATTCTCGACTTCACCCTGACCGCTGTGCATTAGCCAAACATGTCCATTCCACTGGTCATCACATGGACTATGCGAACACTACAATTCTCCACCGTGAGAACAATAAATCTAAAAGAGAGTTCATTGAAATGTCTTATATTTTCCTTAACGATTTTTCCATCAATGTTAATAGTGACATTAAGAATCTAAGCGATATATACCACTTCTTACTTAAATCAGATATCAAGAACAATACAACATCACAGATAACTAACTTGACTGATATATCCATTAACAACTAACCTACTTCAATAATAATTTTCATTAACTAAAAAAGATAACATTTCCTTGCTTTTCTTAGATACATCTCAATAAGATAAAATTATAATAATACATGAACAATATACTAATAAAAAAAGAATTTCAATTAAGAAAATTCTAAACTAATATCAATGTCAATGAACCTTAACGACATAGATATTCAAAAGAACAACGAACGCCGAACAAAATTGTTCGGCGCTTACGTTCTGTGAAAACAGAAGCCCACATTCAAACTTTACAACAATAAAAAAATTTAGTTATACATTTCTAAAATTTACGGCAAGGTAAATATTTTTTATTAGATAATGTATGGTAGCTAATTATAATTTATTCTCTTTCAGCCCTGAAGAAGCCAAATTAATTCTCTTTGGCGAAAACGTTAGGTGAAATACACATTAGAGTTTTCTTGCAGATTTCCCCAATATTTAAGAGTTTACTATATATATATATATATATATATATATATATATATATATATATATATATATATATATATATATATATAGATAATGGAAAAAATACATATGTGTAAATTGGCAAAAGCATATGGAGCTGAACATGCTACTATCCTCCTTCTCATTCCTTGAGCCCTTGTTAGGGTGTGATGACACTCTAAATATTATTGGCTTGTTGCCATTGGCTGCAATCTTGTGCCATATGGATAATTTCATGTAGGGATTTTATCACCAAAGATTTCATTTGGTCTGCCCATCGTGTTGGAGATCTTCCTTTTAGTCTTCGGGCTTCTACCTTTTCTTCTACTGTTAATAGTTCCATGGTCCCCAGTCTTCTAGCTATATGGCCGAAGTAAATTAGATATGCTTGGTTTGCTTTTTTAAGAGTCTATCTGTTATATGAAACTCTTCCAGAATTGACAGGTTAGTTCTATGTTCTGTCCAGGACACATGCAGAATTCTTTTATATACTCACCACAGTGCGTATGTAGTAATGGGAGAGATAAGGGCATTGACAAACTTGAGCTTCGTATTTCATTTCGTAGGCCATTTCTAGTCTTTAGCTTTATTTCTGAGGAGCAATCGCCATTGTTGGTTATCAGGTAGTCATGCTACTACAAACGATCTTAAAAAAATCTTAAATAAAAGTGATTGAATGTTAGGGAAAATTCATCATTTGAAAAGTAATCGAATTTTATACAAGAACTTCAAAGAAAGGTGATTTCATACCACTGTTGGGTCGCTGGTTTATATTGTGTTTACATCGATGTATTCTAAACATATTTACGGAAATTTACCTAAGTATGTTACAAAGATATATTTTTAAATCTACAATATACAAATTTACAATTTGTTAAAAATAATTAAACCAAAACTATAATAAAATCACATATTGAAATGACTAGTATATGGGCACTGACAAATTATTGAAAATATTTTTGTATTATATGTACATATTAAAAATATTGATTTTAAAAATGTATTTATAGTTGAATTTAGAATATAATTTTGATAATCCCACAAAAATATGCATATATTCTAAATTACTTTTAGTTTATTTCAAATTTTGTAAAATGTAATTTTTTTTTACATTCTTCCCTTACCTTTATCTCTATGCTTTACCTAATTAGATTTTGCCAAAAAGTTGGGCCACACAAATAACGTCCCTAAATTTTTCGGAAAATTTTAGATTTAAAAGTATTATTGATAGGAACCATTGGATCAAGTTGCCATTGGAAACCAAAGTTAGTAAACAATTACAGAGTGCGAAAATGGTATACCATGCCTTAATTTGCACAAAAGTGGAAGACCAAGAATTTCATCCCCTGCTCGGGAACAGAGATTAACTCAGAGTATGGAGAACCAATTTCTAGAAATATATTAAAACGATATAACAGAAAAAAGCTATTGAGTAAACACAGGCCCAGTTAGAAAAAAATCCTAGATGTTGCCGTACATTTAGACGTATTCATTTTCCTAGTAAAATTCTCATTATTGATGATGAAAAGTATTTTACTTTATCCAACTCCGAAATTGTGTCCTTGAGAAGGACACAACGAAAGATGGAGATATCAATGCTTGGAATAAGCTTAAGAAATAGAAGAACCGGAGTGGAAGACATTATCGAACATATTATAAGGCAAAAATGGAGATGGGCAGGACATGTTGCAAGAATGAAAGACGACAGTTGGACAAAAAAATTGCTTGAGTGGAGACCACGGGCTTACAAGCGAAGCCAAGGAAGACCCCCAACGCGATGGACCGACGACCTCAAAAGAATCTTGACCAATTGGATAGCAGAGGCGCAGAACAGAAGCAGATGGAAAAATCTAGAGGAGGCCTATGTTCAACAATGGCCAACTCAGGGTTGATTGATGATGATGAATGATGAACTCCAAAATGAAGAGCAACGACGGATTTTATACACGCAATGTACAAGGATGCACTTGCACTTGTACAAGTTAGGATTAAGGCTAACCAGACTAAAATAAACGAAGATTGGTTTGACGAAGAATGCAGATCCATTAAGCAACAGAAAAATGAAGCATATAAGAGACTTCATCAGCGCAGAACGAGATCAAACCTGGTACACTATGAAAATCTCAGACGAAAAGAAAAAAGAAGGTTTAAAAGGAAAAAGAAAGAGCCATACGAAAACGCTCTAAACGAGATTGTTAACAACCACAATAAAAAAGACTCGCGAAAATTCTACAAGAAGATAAACAGCTGCAGAAAAGAATTCAAACCCAGGTTCCATAATTAGTGACAAACAACAGATACTAAACAGGTGGGCGAACAATTTTGAAGAACTGCTTAACGACAGTCGTGAAGAAGACCAAATAGAAATTACTTTGCCTGAAATGGATGAAAACGCTCAAGTGCCGCCCTCCACCGAAGAAGACATTAGAGAAGCCAGTTTAAAACTGAAAAATAACAAAGCCACTGGTTTAGACAATCTTCCTGCCGAAATCTTTAAAAATGGTGGTGACACCCTTTTAAAACACATGCATAAATTAGTAACCGAAATCTGGCAACGAAAGGAAATGGCCGCAGACTGGAAATTAGGTGTAATGCACCCTCTTCACAAAAAGGAAGATATGATGGTGTGTGATAATTATAGAGGCATCACCCTACTTAACGTAGCAAATAAATTATTGTCCAAAATGAAGATCTAGGAACAGCATGTTCTTCGGAAATAGATGCACATTTTTATGTGTAAAATTAGATATTTTCTTGAAAAAAAAAACATAAGTAAAAAACATAACAAACGATAACTAAAAAATAACATCACTGATACCTTAACATTAAACCCTTTTGTAAGGGTAGTTCATTTGTTTGGCGTCTCCAACTATATCAATGTCACTATCGCAATCACTAACATCGGAATTGGTTACTGACATACCCGAGCTGCCAGCTGTCATATTTTTGTCTTGAGACATCGATGCTAAATTTGGACTAGTTCCTAAAATTAAAGAAATTATTATAAAAAAGTCTTATCTTATTTATCACAGAGTATATTATTATTTTAGTGTATGATATCTGCCAAAATAAATCAAAGCAGTGTAATGCATTGAGTTGTAAATGCATTAAATATTGGTTGATTTAACTTTCAAATATCTTGAATGTTTTTCTTTCATTTAATTTCATTAAAATATTTTCCGGTAGACAATTATTTTGGATCATACGGACAGAATATTGGCCTTGTTTAAAACAAGTCTAATAAGGCATATTAGAAACAATCTGAAATAGTGTTACCTACTACAAAAAACAAGTCTAATAAGGCATATTAGAAACAATCTGAAATAGTGTTACCTACTACAAAAATACTTTAACATAAAAGCTGATACAAGGTGAGAATGAAGAGGAGACTTCTGGTGAAATAACAGCGTGTATACAGTCACGTATAAGCAACTTTCCATCTACAGATCACAGATTGGTTGAAATTTTTGAAGGTCAACATGAAAATCTTGTATGCTGTGAAAATACTGTCGAGCAGGTTGGCTATCTAGACTCAAAATATCCCAAGAATGTTTTCGATACTGGGAACTTTCTTCTTTTTTTGATGTACCTATCCGTGACGAATGTTTGTGATCATCACGGCAATATTTATCTTGTCTGCAGCAACACAGAAAAGCTACACAGATGTGTTAAACCAAGATCTGACTTTCTTTTAGGATGTTCTTCTTTTTCCTGGACTTCGCTTTCCAAATATTTTTCCTTGTAGGATAGCTTGTAGCAGGGGATATTTGAAATTATTTCGTATAAAGTGTCCAAAGTACTGTACTGTGTGTCATATTTATGACTCAGCCAGTTCATTGTATCTGAGAAACAGTGGTTTCCAGTGATCTCTGAAAACACTGAAAACATAGACAGCTGATTTTTCTGCGAGAAGTTGTTAAAAAAAAATTGGTATATATATATATATATATATATATATATATATATATATATGTATATATATATATATATATATATATATATATATATGTATATATATATATATACATATATATAAATATATATATATATATATATATATATATATATATATATATATATATAAATATATATATATATTGTTATGATATTTAAATTGTATTCTATTGCTTATTTAGAAAAGATCTTGTCTATATTTATTAAATGATCTAATCTCCAATTAATCACAATAAATCAGCATTAATTAATTACAATCTCAGGCTATTTAACTTGTACTATTTACCTTTGATCGTGGATTCAAAATATTTTCCAATTGGCTTCCTAATTGGGATAGGTAATATGACCTGAATAAAATACACAGAATTTCAACTGAACTATATGTGAGATGTCCTTTATTTTAATGAAATTTTATATAACAATCAATCCTGTAATATTTGCAATATAATACTTTAAATATATGAGAAGTTGTTTTCTATCATGGACCCAAATGTTATTTTACATTGATTTTTAATATGTGTTATAACTAAGCTCTCTTTCTAATTTTTTTCTTTAAATGATCGCAAAATTAACTGTCTCTATTATTTATTCAATTTATTTAATTAATAAATGAAAACCACACTCCTGCTCTAATGAAAATTGACTGACCTTTCGTTCTCTGCCGTTGCAATTCTATGACCACGCCATAAAAAAAAACCTTTCTCTGCTTCTGCTCCTATTGTGGTCCAGATGACGTACACCTTTCTCCTATCTGTCCTTGTATCTGCAACCCAACAACTCGTGTAATTCTATGCAGCCTCCTTTTGAGCCAATCTCCGCGCCTGTTTATAACTTCAAATGTTTCCGGCTTCGTCTGATATTAATATTCTTATACCCTTTGGTTTTTCTATCGCTCTGTACCCCGTTCCTCACACTGATCAGCTTTTACACAGCAAATAAACACACCCGGTAAATTACGTCTTCGGGACTTCAAACAAACACAAACCACAAAGCTCCTTCCTTCTTGGGCGACGAAAACTCACTAACTGTTTTCCTCTCTCCTATCTCATAGCCAAAACCACTACCTCCTTGCATTCAAAAATTGACCAATAAAAATCATCCACCTCTTGACGTATATCGTTACCAACCAACTCTCTCTATAAAACGTCATTCGGGTAATTCCAGAAAACAACATTCTTTAATTATTCTAACTAAATCTATCTGCTTTACAAATATTTCTTACTAATAGCTACAAACGATACCTGTTTCTCAATTCGATGTCTTTTGTTAATAAACTTTTACCGATATAATCTTTCGGGGAGAAAAACCACCGCAAATCCCGGTCTATTGTTTAAACACTGTCTATATACACTTTTATTCCGGGTAAATCCATTCCACAATAACCGACTTATTTAAATTTCTTATCGATAATATTTGAAAGTCTTGTCTCTGAGGCCTAATGAACAATTCTTCGAACAACTTAAAATACATATTTTGTCTTATACAGGATGTTTGAAAATTTATATGCCCGTGTCTTTATGAAATATCAATAATTTTAATTTTTATTTAAGTAATAAAATTTGTATATCGGTTTTTTATTGCTAATGGACATTCAAAAGTACAACAATATATATATATATATATATATATATATATATATATATATATATATATATATATATATATATATATAAATATATATATATATATATATATAATATATATATATATATATATATACATATATATACAGAACAAGTATTAAGTTTCTCTATCCATTACGCAGTATCACTGTCCCTATCACCCAATAAACTGAGATAAAGTTAGAGCAACCACTAAAAATCATAAAAACAGGTAAACCGACATCACAACCAAGTCCCTCAAAAAATTATTCTTTATCAGTTATACTAGTTAGACAAATAAAAATGGACCACTGGCAGAGTTTCTCAAAACAGATGGAACACGACTTGATGAATTGAAGAGATGAACGAACTAAACGAAATTTATTCAGAAGGAAACATGGGTAGACTACTTTCGATCCCTATTTGCTATTACTACGAAGAAATAAATATTGAAGAGGAAGAGGTAAAGGAAGCATTAAGGGAAATAAAAAATAGAAAATCACCAGAATACCGAACGAACTCCTAAAGTACGGAAGACCAGATCTGACCAAACAACTATTAAAACTAATCCAAAAAATAATAGAACAAAACAGAATTCCTCAAGAATGGACATCAAGCATCCAAATACCTCTCTTCAAAAATGGAGACAAATCGGCAGACAAATGGCGGCATGACAAAACTCAGAAAATTACAGAGGAATTAATTTATTAAACACAACACTAAAATTAACAATCAAAGTGATAACAAATAAACTAAATGAAATTATAACACTAACAGAAAAACAACAAGATTTTAGGTCGAGAAGATGATCCACCGACGCTATATTTATAATGAGGCACGTGCAAGAGAAATCATTAAATACAATAAACCGGCATATCTATGTTTCGTGGACCTTACAAAGGCATTTGACACTGTCAAATTAAAAGACGTTATCCACTTACTGTATGCAAGAGAGGTATCTCTAGGAATAATAAAAACTATCGAAAATATTTACCAAAACAACACAATAAAAGTAAAAGTAGAAGAACTAACCGACCCTATTAAAGCTGGAAATGGGGTAAGACGGGGACATTAATTAAGTCCTCTATTGTTCAACTTGGTTATGAATAAAATATTAAAGAAAGCAAGAACAAGAACTAAAAAAGGATACAAAATGGGAGAAAAACAACTTAAAATAATAAGCTATGCAAACAACGCAATACTACTCTCTCAAAGTGAAGATGATTTACAAAATATGCTGCACTAATTTAATATATCCGCCAGAAATTGAACATGTTAATTTCCTTAAAAAAGACAAAACATTGTTACAACAGCAAATGTACTAAAATGTAAATTGGAGCTGGAAGGTCAGATAATAGATCAAGTGATGGAATTTAAATATCTAGGCATTACATTATCTAGCTACGGAAAGTTCGAAACCGTAGTAGAAGATCAAGTGAATAGAGCAAACAGAGCCGCAGGCTGCCTAAATGAAACAATATGGAAAAATAAAAATATCGGGAAAGAAACAAAAGGCAGAATTTACAAAACAGTCATCAGATCAATAATGACATACGCGGCAGAAACAAGACCTGACACAGAGAGGACAAAACGGATGTTAGAAACAGCAGAGAGGAAAAATTAATGGTAAGACACTATGGGACAGAGCTAGAAGTACCTACAGATATACGACGTAGATGCAAGGTGGAGAAGATCAAAAATTGGGTAAGAAATAGAGGAGTAGAATGGAACGATCATATAAGCCAAATTAATGACAACAAATCGAGTAGTAAAAACGGCAAGAGACGGTTTCCCAATAGGAAGACGATCAGTAGAAAGACCGCGAAAACGATGGAATGACAACTTACTGGAGGAACTTACATTGAAAAACAGAGACATGTCTATATAAAAAGAAGCGGAAGAAGGAGATCAGTTATACCACTGACAAGAAGCCGCAGAACTATTTGAGTACCTGACAAACTAAATCTTTGATGAAAGGGGAGATGTATACGTATCTGCTTACTTATTAGACGGAGTTCCATAAAAAATGCGGTTGGCAGAATGAATTGTCGTCACTTTCTGTCAATTGTCTAAGATGTCATGCCAAAAATAAAATAATAAATAAATTATCATTGGTACGGTTTTTAATTTTATGCTAATGCTACACTTTGGAAATTAAGAAAAATAATATTAAAAATATTGTAATATAAATCTAGATCATGAGAACGTCATATAAACAAAAATAAAAAACAATGGGAGGACTGCATTCTAAGTACCAGTACACGACAAACGATTCACTTTATAGCCACTAACAAGCTGATATTTAATAGCATATTTACTGCCTCTAATGTATATATACGTTACATAATATATATATATATATATATATATATATATATATATATATATATATATATATATGAAAATTAATATTAGAGTTTATTGTAGA